ACTGGTGTCTTTATACGAAGAGGAAGGGACCCCAGAAGAAGGACCAGGAGGACACAGCAAGAAGGTGGCCATCTGCAAGCCCCGAGAGAGGCCTCCCCTGCTGGCATCTCGATTTTGGACTTCCGGCTTGCAGAACTGTGAGAAAATAACTGTCTATGTTAAGCCCCCTCCTGCAAGTCTGTAGCATTTTGTTACGGCAGCCCTAGCAGTCTAATATACCTCGTTACTAAATAAGGCCCTGCTCTGAGGTTCCTGGTGGACATGAATTTGGGGGGGACACTATGGAACCCATCATGGGGGCATATTTAGCTTTCTGTGGCTGGTCTTGAGTTAGAAGCAGACACGAACAGTGGGGAAGCTGCGCTGCATAGACCGAGTCCTGACCATCTGGGCCAGTCGTTGTTGGGCTCTCTGGATAGGCCGTGGGTCAGAGTTCTGTTGTCCTGTGTGGTCTGGCCGTTGCCCGTTTGGATGTTCAGGCTCTTGTCATTCTGCTGCTAACCAGCTGTGATGTTGACTAAAGCACCTGAGCTCTCTGCACTTCAGTGTTCTTCCTCCCCTTTAACGTGGGAGGCTGAGCGGTTCTCCGTGGGTAGGACCAGGATGCTCAGCGTCAGGGCAGGGAGAGAGGTGGGGACGGCAAGGATGGCGTAGGGCATGTTGCCCCAGTGATTTTGATAAGCCCATGTTCCTCCTCGGTGGAGAGCCATCGGACCACGTGGCTCCTGGGGCCTCTTCCAGCCTTCAACTCCACGGTGGTTGCTCCTGGAGAGAGCGATCCTTCTGCTGGGTCTTCCAGTCCTACTTTTATTTTCCCTGTTACTTTATCTCTTTTGGAATGTGCTGAACGAGAGAGAGAGAGAGAGAGAGAGAGAGAGAGACGCTGGGTCTTGCAGTCCTACTTTTACTTTTCCTGTTACTTCATCTCTTTTGGAATGTGCTGAACGAGAGGGGGGTGGGGGAGAAAGAGGATTTTAAACTCCTTTTCATGCTGATTAAACCAACGAGTAATCTCATTGTTTTGACTCTTGCCTGGGACAGGAGGCTTCTTTTCATGCTGATTAAACCAACGACGTAATCTCATTGTTTTGACTCTTGCCTGGGACAGGAGGGTGGTGATAAAAAACCTAGACATCCCCATTGTTGCCCGTGAAAGGTGCAAAGTTCTTAAGTTATCTCACATCACAGAATGGCAGAAATTTTTTTGCTCTAGGTTTCTGGCCCTTGGGTGGCTCCTACGACACGTAAGTGAAAATGATAGAAATGTGAAGTTATTTAAATTACTTCCCAGCCTTCCAGTCTAGCTTTCATAGTTTCAGAATAAATGTCAGGGTTTAGAATGCGAGGTTATTTTTAACCAGGGTAGACAGCAAAGAGAGAATGGCATGTTTTGAGGCAATTTTATTCCTTTTTGAAGAATTCAAATCACAGTTTATATCCCCCGAAGAGCATCAACTAATTGAAAGGTTTGCGAAAGCTGGGCATCTAAAGGGAGGGCGTCTCGGTCAAGCTCTTCCACTGGGAAGGGTGGTGGTTCAGCACCGAGCAGTGAGGTGGTGGGTTCACAACCCTGCATGTCTCAGAACCCATAGAAGTGCACACCGCAAAGAATGAACTTTACTGTGTGTAAGAGAGCTGGGTGGATGAATGGACAGACGATCCTTCATTCATTCATGCATATGTTCATCCTTGTCCAAATGGGAAGTGGTCAGTTTGATGAAATGTTTCAAGGACGTCAAGGAAGACGAGTGACAGGTTCCCGTGGGTCCATGGGTGGGTCCTGGGCTCTCAGCGGAATTGGCCTAGAAGATGCCATGTGGCCCTAGCTGGTTTGGCTCAGTGGATAGAGGCAGGTTGACAGCGGGAAGGGAGACACCTGGGAGTGAGGAGAGGGGTGTGTCCAGAACCAGGAGTGGTGGAGAAGCCAGTTCTGGGCACTGAGGTCCAAAGGAAAGAATC